TATGTATGTATGTCTGTATGTCTGTATGTATATAACGTTTCGATGAAGTCTCATTCATCATCTTCAGGCTTCTGTCTTCGGCTCTTGCTTCTCAGAGTGATGTGAGATTGCAGCTGCTTCTTCCTTTTAACTGCTAGTGGGGGTGGGACTTGATTGGGTGGGGACTTGGCTGTGTTCTGATTGGGTGGGGGTGTGTTCCCATTGGTAGGGGGTTTGGCTGTGTTCTGATTGGTTGGGGGGGTTGGCCGTGTTCTGATTGGTTGGAGGCGTGTTCTGTTCAGGTGGGGGCTTGGTTGTGCTCAGGATAGTCTTAGTTGCTGGGGGATTTGAGTTGGTGAGCTGTGATCTTGCTGTTTGGCTTCGAGTTCGTGGTCGTGCTGCATCTTCATAGTGGGTGTCGGTTTGCTTCATGTAGAGCTCGGAGGGGTTTGAAGTGGGTAGTGATGCAGCTGCAGTGCAGCTTCTGGTCCATGGTCGTGTCTCATCTTCTGAGTGGGTGTGAGTCTGTTTTCTACATGGAAGTGTGGTGGTGGCATCTTGTGTGGCCCTCATGGGTGTGGGTCTGGTGTCATTCTTCATGTTAGGTACTCGTCTGTTCATGAGGGCGGGTTTCCAAATGGCTGGAAGGCGGGAGGTGTCATCTCGTTTGTTCATGCTGTGTGGGCGTTTTTCTATCTCTATGGCTTCTCTGATTATTCTGCTGTTGAAGTGTTCGGTTTTGGCGATAGTTCTGGTATTTTTAAAGTCAATTTCATGTCCTGTGGCTTTGAGGTGTTGGACCAGGGAAGAGGTCGTTTCTTCTTTTTTGATTGAGTTCTTATGTTCTTCAATGCATGCACTTATTCTTCTGTTAGTTTGTCCAATGTATGTGGTAGGGCAGGCAGTGCAGGAGATTTCGTATACTCCTTGGTTTTCTAATTCGATTTTGTCTTTGGGGTTTCTTAGGATGGTGGATATTTTTCTGTTTGTGCAGAATGCTGTTTTAATGTTGTGTTTTTGGAGGATCTTGCTGATTTTGTCTGTAGTGCCTTTTATATATGGGAGGAGGGCTTTGCCGTTTTCTTGTTCTCTGTCTTGGATTTTGGTTGGGGTTTCTTTTTGGATTAGGTGGGTAATCTTCTTTCTTTGGAATCCGTTGGCTGTAAGTACGTTGGTGAGAGTGTGTAGTTCGGTTTTTTTGGTGTTGTTCATCGGCTAAGCATTTTGTTCTGGAGATGAGTGTCTCGGCTACGGAATTGATCTGTGCTGGGTGGTGGTGTGAGAGTGCATGTAGATAGCGGTTTGTAAGTGTTGTATACCGTATATATATGTATGTTTTCTGAGGTTCTCGCGGGTATTTGTATGTGGATCTTTGGTTGTTCGGGTTTTCTCCCGCGTAAGATTCGATATATATATATATGGAAGATGGCTTGATGTTTTTATGTTTTGTTTGTCTAAGTTTGTCTTAAAAACCAATAAAATTAAAAAAAAAGTTGTGACCCATTGTCTGGACCCATTTTTATGGTTTTTCTGCAATGATCATTAAGCAAATCTATTAGTTGCTAAAGACTGTTTTTTGCTGAAAATCATTAGCAAACACCAGTTTTCAGAAAAAAACATTGTAAACTATGGTCACATAAGCCAAGGATGCTACGAATAGCCATAAATGCAGGCCGACTGTTGAATACAGCCATGTGACAGGGGGGGCAGCTGTTGCAACTTCAGAACCAGAATGTAAGCCATTGTGACAGATTTACCCTTCTTAGTTGTAGCCCAGAACAAAATTTTGAATGTCTTAAGTTGACTTTCCCTAAGGTTGTGTTAAACATTAAGCCATGGTTTAATCCCAACTGGCTGCATCTCCACAATTGATACACCACAAATCATATTGCTAGAACAAGCCAAACCCAATGTACAGGTAGTTCTTGACTTATCATTTAGTGACCAGTTACAACATCACTAAAAAAAGTGACCTATCACATTTCATACAACTGTTGTCACATCCCAACAGTTCAAAATTCAGACGCTTGGCAACTGGTTCACGTTTATGGCAGTTACATCATTTGTACTGTCCTGATACCGTGATCACCTGCAACCTTCTGACAAGCAAAGTCCATGGGGAAGCCAGCTTCTTTTAACAACCACTTTACTAACTTAGCAACTGCAGTGATTCACTTAAGCATGTCAAGAAAGGTAGCAAAATGGGGCAAAATTCACTTAAAATTCACTTAACAAAATTCACTTAGCAACAGAAATTTTGGGCTCAATTATGGTCAAAATTATGGTCAACCTGTAATATAGGTTCATGCAGGGTGAACAATTTGATTTAGTCCTCAACCCATGTAAAGTCAATGGGGAAGCCAGATTCACTTAACAACTGGGTTACCAGCTTAACAAGTACAATGATTCACTTACCTACTTTTCTGGCAAGAAAATTTATAAAGTTGGTAAAACTCACTTAAATGTCTCAGTTAGCAACATAAATTTTGGGATCAATTGTGGTTGTAAGTCGAGGACTACCTGTATTGATTGGTTTGAATATTCTTTCTTAAAATCTACTAGTGGAAAACATGGACGTTCCTTCTGAATCAAGAATCTACTCAAAATCCAGGAACTAAAATAATGTAGTACTGATGGCATTTGGAATAAATCTAAACTCACTCCAGGACTGCCTACTTGATTTTGAAAATAATTGCTAGGTGCCACCAAAAAAAAAAAAACGGGGGGCCGGGGGGAGAAGCTTGTCAACAAGATAAAAAAGAATGAAAAGTTTCCAGCAACAAATATTCAACCTTTCACAATACACAATTTGTAAATTACATAATTTACATTTTAAAGTGATTAACTAAACAAAAGCTTTTACTGAGATGTCCATATTGGGTGATATCAATAAAATATACGATTGACCTAAACTTTACAATTATAGGTTCCAAGACTTTTCTTTTTCTATTCAATTGAAATTTAACATAGCAAATATATAGTAAGAAAAATATGAAACATATAATTATAAAGTATATTTAGTATATTGTATATGTATACAATAAAAATAAAAATCTGTATATTTAAACATATATACAAATGTGGAATTTTAACCATTTTTTTCCTTTTGACTTTTTTTGTCCTTCTGTTCAATCATATCCAATTCTCAGAGACCACCTGAACAAGTCCCTGCAGTTTTCTGGGCCAGATTTCTTCAGAAGAGTTTGCCATTGCTTCCTTCCTAAGGCTAAAAGAGAAAGTGACTAGCCCAAGGTCACTCAGTCAACTTCATGCCCAAGGCTGGACTAAAATTTACAGTCGGCCAATTTGTAGCCCCACTACACCAAACTGGTTGTCCTGATTTAAATACAAAAGTTAAAATCAGGATGTTTCTTGATGACTGTTTCTATGGTATTTTCAAAAATTGAGTGCCTTATCTTTAAAAAGGTAAAACATTTTATGCCATGTTGAAAAGCCATTTGGAGTCTTTTTAAAACCAATTTTTATTGTGATACATACCAAAGAAGCTGAAAATGTGCCTGTTTTGATTTAAAAGCTAATACATTCATCCTCTATCTTTCAAACTGGAAGCTCATAGCTAAAATCATTTCTATAAATATCAGAATACATTTAGCTATAACCAATATTGGGCCATCACTCACAAATGGCTGATGAGCAACTCTCATCAGCTGGATCATATTCAGTCTCTTTTCCCTGAGTGAGTCATACTGGAAAGAATATGCCACCTGAATTATACACGTTAGATAGTGACCCAGAGCACTGTTTATCTTAATGATACAGCCTGTATTATCTGAATGATGAACATTGGATTTTCTAGTGACATGGTCACTTGAGTGTATCAGAGTAAAACTTCTAGTTGCTGCATCATAGTTTCCCATCGTGCTCTTTATACAATCTCAATTAAATGGGATTTTGCACATCCTCCATAGCCTTCCATCCTGTCAAACAGGTAGCTGTTGCCAACTCCATCCACATATATCGTATGCTCTATAAGCTATAGCCCATGCTATTTACATGTGGGGAATTCTCTAAAGAGCAAACATCCTAGAAAGAAGTGTATGATTCTTTGAAACTGACTAATTAAATAAGAATTGCTCTTCCCTGTCCCCAAAGATTCTTTGCCATGATAGGTTGAAATCAAGTAAAGTTTAGGTACATTTTCAATAGACTCCATTATTGAGTAGATTGATATGTTGAGTTTTATGTATAAGTGCTATTGGGTTCTTCATGCTGAATTTTCAGATGCATTTAATACAAACATTGTAGGTTTCTAGACCTTAACAATTGAGAACAGTTCTGCATTTTGCAAATATTTTAGACTTTGCTATTATGTTAATGGTATTCATACAAGATTGATGAAGCTGCATGATTTTCTTTTTGCTCACAAACTCAGAAAAGACCAACAACTGTTGGGTTTGTGCTTGTCAATCAAGGTGCTAAAACCTGTGCTAGACCTTCTGCAATTGCTTCTATGGATTTGTTTTAATGTTTAAAGAAACATTTAAACAAATTGACCAAATTGAACAGCAGGTAGAAGTTAGTATGGGCTGCTACAGCATCCATTCTTATGACCGTGGAGTAAAAGAAAGATAATCTAGAGCCGTGCTGCGAACCTATGGCAAGCATGCCAGAAGTGTCATTCCTGCCGGCACGCGAGCACTCGCCCAGAAATGGTCTACTGCGTATGCGCGCGCGCACTGCGCACCTGATTGTTGGGTATCTGGCACACACGCGTGGGGGTATTGTGGCGCGCAGGAGACACTTAACATATGCACAGAAGTGTGCAATGCACAGGGGGTTATGTGCACATGCGCAGAAGCATGCAGCGCGGGTCACACCGCATGCACAGACGCGTGCTGTGCGGGTCATGCGGGTTGCACGTGTATGCGGAGGCATGGGGGGCTGTGCGCATTGCCTTCTGAGCGATGGCACGCGAGCACGAGCAGTCAAGAGTGCGCGATTATCAGCACAAGAGCCCAAAAAGGTTAGCCACCACTGATCTAAGAGTTTTCTGAGAATATAATCCACTTTTTTTGAGTTTTATTCTCTCAGAATATAACCAACCCAAATCTTGGACCTGAAGCAGACTATACTCTCCTTTTGTCCAAATAAGTTTTCCTTTTTCTTGGCCAAGCAAAAACTGACCCTCTCTCAACTACAAGCTAGCTTTGCCAAATTAAAATATAGAGAGGCTTTATATGAGGTCACATGGAAAACCTGCATTCTTGTGTAGTAATCACTGAGACATCAGCTAATTTTAGCATTTTTTGACAAAATATCATTATATAGATGACAGGCTATGCATTACTTTATACAGTACCTGTACCTATACTATACAGTACAGGCACTGTCCTTTATTTTGTCCATTGTTAAACCATAGTAGCTTAACAATGGTGAAAAGCATCCAGTTATCTAACATGGTAAGGTTGGCAAATTTTTAAATGAAAGAGAATAAACAACACATTGAAAGTTCAGTTAAATGTAGAATATAATAAATTGTAATAGAAAAAATATAAATTTACAGATTCTAGGTTCCCTCCTGTAAAATGCTTCAATTATGTATAATACAAAGATAACCAGAATGGTCCAATTTAGCTTCAATCTGGCCATTCTGCAATTCTAAGTTATTTACTTAGGAAGTAGACTGGCACTTCTAAAGATCAAAGATAGCACACTATCAAGGAAGGCAACAAACTGCTGCTAAATATCCAGTACTGAAGGTATTGCCAAGATAAGCAGATAACATTGCAAACAGTTCGGAAAAAATATTTAATACTAGATTCACTCTGCTATGTATAGAGTAGCAATCTGAAAATACATGTAAAGTACATGCACAATGGTTCATAGAAATTAACAGAAATTAATTATAGATTATGATTGCAGGGCCCAAATCAAAGAAACCGAGACATTCTGAAACATTAATTCAGGACTGATCTAACATAAGTTAAAACATACATTTAGTTAAACGTTAGGAAGATAATAGAATTTTTAACTATACAATTAATGTAAAATTCAATGAGCCATTTTCTAGGTATTTCATATTATATAAGATTATAAATTTTCTGTTTCCTTGTTCAATTTAGCCTTTACAGTATCTTTTACAAATTCATCAATTATTACAGAGCCAACCTCCTATTGGGTCAAGTTTTTTCCTCTCAAAAATAGAAAGGTAATAACTTTCTCAACTATGAAAAACACCCAATTTTGTACTTCAGTCAAAACACAATCCAAATAAAGAAATTTATACAAGGGTTAACATTCTGATAAACAGTCTATTAAATGTCCAACTCCATCCTTAGAAGTTTTTAGAATCAATTTGATTTACCCCTTACACTACTTAGAAATGCAATAACCTGGGAAAAACATATATATTGCATTTACTAATATTTTATTTTTTTAATCCTTGGTTTCCTAAAAACCTATTTTTTCACCAAAAGTTTAATTCCTTTAGCTTACCTTGAGCAAAAAAGATCGTTTTGTCAAAATCATCCAATATCAATTTTAGCTTTGTTATACATTAATCATTCCATAAGATTTCAAATTTTCAGAATTATATCTCACATAGTTTTTACTCACACATTCGACTTCATCGCAGAAAAAAAATCACACATAGCCCTGTTTTTATTTTAAAATAATACATGAACAAAAACTTGAGAATTTTAGAATGAAATTATTTCATTCTAAGTTGCATTTCAGCTTCAAATGAAAATTGTTCCACAAATCATACCCTCCCGCCCTGTATCTCTCTAAAAAAAGTATTTTTGATACATCACACTTCATAAAAACGCGCTGTACTTTTCTCCCTTTTTCCTCTTCTTCCTCCTCCACCTTCTTTCTCTCTATACTACCTCCAAGATGGTAGGAAAGTTGTTGTTTTGGAGGGCAGAGAAGCCGCTCTCTGGTGTTATGTCCTCTCAGTGCCTGTAGTGGTGCTGTAGGAGGCTGCTCAGCTCTCTTCTTGAGCAGCCCCAACAGCCCTGCCTTCTTTGCTGGAGAATATATTCAGGGATTCCCCTTAATAATCACCTACCCTCTGAGCACTTTGTAGTTTTAAAATAATAAAGAGCTCCCGTTCAAAGCTTTCGTCTTTTCTAAAAGCAGGAATCTTTCTCCTCAGAGCCAGGGGGGCAGCAACAGCAGCAGCTCCTCAGCGCTGAAGCAGCTCCGAGCCCATTCCCCGGTCCCTCTGCTGGGGAGGAAACTCTGGTCTGTCAGCCCAACAGAGGGAAAGGGGGGAGAGGAGAGAGGAGAGAAAAAAAAGCAGCTGGAAAGGTAAGCCAGGCCCGGCCTCCATCCTCGGGCTCACGTAGAGCAGCAGGCGGCGCTCCGTCCGCAGGGCGGGCGGCCGAGCGGGATACGCGAGGCCGGGGATTCGAAGGGGCGCTCTAGGCCTCGAGGGGGACTGGTGGGATTTTGGAAGCCGCGGGGTGCCGCGAAAGGAAAAAGGGGGGGCGAGGTGGCCTCTCACTCGAAATGGTGGGGAAGAGGCTCTGGGTCGGGCCGTCTTACGGGGATCGTGGGTGCTGGACCCAGGGCAGGCCTGTGAGTTCCCCGCCCCCGCAGGGTCCAGCTCCGGCGTCCGGCGGGCCAAAATAGCCAAGATTAATGCGGGTTCAGTCGAAATCCTCCTGACTCCACGTTGCTTTGGGGTTCGGGGTGGCGCTTAAGCCCGGGAGTGCCGGCTAAGGCCCTGAGCTGGCCGTTGACGGACGGACGGGCCGTGCGGGTGGGGGGGGCGGCAGCGGAGACCCCGGGGCAAGGAAGGCGAGGAAGGGGATTTCGCCGGTGATTATTGAGATAAAATATCACGATGGACACTATTTTGGCCGTGTCTCCCGCGTCCTGTTTCTACCGCGGGTGGGTGAGCCCCGGCAAGGTTCGGGGAGCGCGTCTTCTTGGGCCCCCGCCGCCGGCCTTTAAAGTTTAATTTGAGGCATCGCAGCCTTCGATATTCTTCGAAATCCACGATCCTTTTCCTCCCGAGTTTTAAATTCAACCTCATTTGGAAATAAGTGTAGGAATACTCTGCGTCCCTTGCTAAATTGCAGAGGGGTCTTCTCCGCCTTCTCCACGCCCTATAGCCCACTCCGTCGCCTCTCCTTAGAAAGTCTTAAGGTTAATTCTCATTTAAACTTCGGCTCTTGGAAACTTTCCGAAATTCCACCAGCACCCGTGAATCAATTTAAGGTCCTGGAAAACGGGAGGAAGGGAATTTTGCTGCATGGTTGTTGCAAGGTCCCCTCCAGAAATACTCTTGGAGTGTTTGTTTTAGGACATTGGAGCCTGGGTGGGGAGCGGGTGGACAGGGCTGCTGCCCACCCAGCTTCCTACACTTGGGATTCTGTGCAGGATTACTCGGATATTCCCATTTCGGAAATTCGTAGTTGCTGTCACGCAGAGTCCCGTGTTCATTGAAGGCACCTAGTTTTGTGAATGAGTTGTAGGGCAGCTCATGATCTGTCTCTGGTCTTAAGAGGGTCCGCCAATAACTGTTATGCCAAAGCACTGGGTCCAAAATTTCTTCCATGAGGCACGTGTGGAAAGGATTGTTGAATTAGTTGTTTGGCCGGTGTTTTGGGGTGGGGGTGGGGGTTGGGGCCAGACGCTCGAGAAAGTTGGAAGAACTGATCATTCAGATTAGTTTCAAAAGTGAATCTGCCATTGAGTCTGGATAGTTGAGAGAGGTTACCTAGACAAAATTCACAGGACTTTCACAGAAAATTCTCATAGAAATAATTACCATGTTTCTGGACCAGTTTTAGGAAAAGTTCCTTAAATTAGTCCATCTAATCTAAACTAATTTAGGCGAGGTCTTGGTGAAGATGCAAATAATTATTGATACAACTCTGTCAGTCCAAGAGAACTTTGGGCTTCTGTTTCTCAAATTGTAGCTTTTCAAACCATATATGAATCAATTTCTGAAACTGAGTTGCATCTGAATCTGCTTTTTGTTGAAAAAGATAATTTATTAAGCAAGTGCTTACAGTTTATTAATATATCATGGCCAAATTTGCATGATTCCTAGATGAATGTAGCGTATTTCTTTTCTGGCAGAAATCTAAATTCAATTGCAAACCACTCATATAAATTTTCTTTTATTAAACATGTACAGAGTTGCATCTCAGCATGGGATGCCAACATTTAAAGTATTTTTTTATAAAATAGAATAGCAATTTTGTCACACCTTAAAATAGTAGACTGTAATTGTAGCTTAGATCTTTCGAACCTATTTCATGATGAGAGGATTTTATTAAAAATTCTTGAACTGCAGAAAAGTGAGCTGAAGTCAAGATCTAATCTATACTTTCCTAAAATTAAGTTTATTTAAAGCAACACTTTTAACTGACAAGAAGTATTATTTTGTTACAATTTTTGGTCATTTATGATGACTGACATGTTCTTTTCAGAAAAGATTTCTGGTTCAAGGACTTAACAGTCTTTCAACCTGTTCTATTACTTAAGCTTAAATATTGTAATATTTAGTATTTATTACAGAATATTACAGAATTTATTACTGTATGTATTATCAGTTTTCCCCATTTCTACTTTGTAGTGAATATGTTCATAATTTTGTTCCAAATTCAAGAAAATGCATTGAATAAAACAACTGTCTTATTCCTCTGACCCTCATCATTTTATACTGTTGCAATTCTATTCTCAGCCTCCATGTGGAATGAGTAGCAATGTGTGTAGCTGATCAATAAGGGGATGCAAAAACTGGCCTCAGCTAGCACCTTAACCCCATATTCAGTTTTTGCTGCACTTTAACTAATTTCTCAGACCACCTAAAGGTCAGTTGCAAAGAAAACTCTTCTGTTGTAGTGTGAGGCTCATAAGGTGGCATAGGGAGATGGCAGAGGGGAATAGCTCAGTATAGAGTGGGATGAAGCAAGAGGTTTTCCCTGCTACCAGGCTTCAGCACTACAATTGCAAGACGGTATTGGCATCAGAGCCAGGAATTAATTGGCTTCCCTGCTCAATTGTGAGAATGGTATGTAATCATGCAGATGTACCAGTGACCTGTATGGAAAGATATTTAGAATCATATTTAGATGAAGTTATTAGATTCACAAAACTGAAAATGCTCAGAATGTAACCCAGATTTAGCAACTCATGTAATTGCAATTGAGCAGTTCCTTGAAACAAGGCAACCATGTAACAATGCTAAGTATAATCCTAGTAGCATTGTCAGGACTCTGTCCTAATACAAAATTGTTAAATAAAGTTCATTAACTAAAACCTAGATTTTTTTCTTAAATGGAGTTTTCTATTATATTGCTCTGCTAATCCATCTGATTACAAGAGAATTAAGATCAATTATGAACACTTTCATTATTTATATATTTGTGACCTCAGGTGAATATGATTTAATATTCCCATGTAGGTGCTTGTATTTAACTTCAACATCTGCCTGTATCAGGAGAATTTTTTTTTTATCAAACATCTACTCATAATAAGAACTTCATGGCTCAGAAATAATAATGCATTTATTTCATGATTGTGACTGGTCCTGCACTTGGCATATGTGGATGAAGGATGGCGGGGGCGGGTAGTCTGAGTTGGTAGATTATTATTCTCCTAAAGTCCAGAAATCCATGCATTAAAATTGCAGTACAAGAATTTTAAGACAAAATGCTTTTTTCATTAATAGGACAATTTTAGAAGAAGGAATATGTTTCATTGATAAAACATAATTCTGATAACATGGAGAAAAAATCTATCATATCCTTCCTTATGTGGGTGGAGTCTAAATATTTTGGTACTAAAACTATCATTTTTAGAAATATGGAATTGTGCCAGTCTAGATTCTGTATTTTATTTTTTTAATACCTTGCAATGTTCAAATATAGAATTCTAGATGAAAGTGGGAAAAAAAATCTTGCCTGGACTAAATTAACATCTTTCTGATATGTGGGTGTTAGTATTAAGAGCAAGACGATATGAATCATTTTCATTCTGATCCTAAATTCATGTGAAAATAACTTGTACAAGTTTCAGTGGAACCTATTCTAGCTGCACATCCAAGACTGGGAGTGAACCACATTAAACATCCTTCTGAGTAAACTTACCTGGGGTTGAGTTGCAAACTTGCATATAAAATCAATTTAAGTGATTTAATATCTATGTAGAAGAGAGAGTTTTAATTACAGTATTGTCTTAATAGATGTTTTTGAAACTCTCTCCTATGTGCCCAAAAATGAAAGAAAAGCAATTTCCAATTTATATGTATGAGCTCTTGTTATAGATTATACAAAGAAAACTTTTATATAGGAGATAACTGCTATGTAGAGGTACATGGTAATGATATGATAAAAATCTTCATTAAATTAATAGTCATTAAATTAATAATCATTGACACTATGTGATTTTTAATATTAATCTTTGTGATGTGAGATGTATAATAAGACTTATCTTTGTACTGTAACTTTATTGATGTAAAATGTCTGGTTGCCATCCTATGCGTATTTATTAGTGAGGATTATTGATTTCAGTGAAACTTGATTCTTAGTAAATATGGTTAGAAGCAAGTTGCCAGAAACATATTGTAGCATTTCTTGTCGTATGATAAAATCTAATATTATATAAGGAAAAGCTAAAACATTTTCTTACTTCTTGTATTCTTCATATTACCTTAAAAAAGCAACAACTTTATAGTGCTAACAGAAACATTGTCTTTCCAGTGGGAAAACTGGACTGGATTTTACTATATCTTAATTGTTAGCTTATAAGCAACCCAATTACATGTGACCTGTTACTCTGATAGTTGTACTAATTGTATTCAAATAAATGTCCTAGAAAAATTGATATTTGTGAAGGTGGCAAACGGTAGATTCAACCACTTTCCAGATTCAGAGCCAAAATGAGGTAATTCAGAGCAACATCCTGAGATCCTATCAAGCTGTCAGCCTTAACAAGGCTCTGGTCTTAGTTTGTTCTTCTGGAGTTTTGTGGCACTTCAAATGCTATGACAGCTTCACCAAAATAAATTAAAGCTCAGTATTTACACTTTCAGGTTGCTTATTAAACTTATTTTAGAAGAATATCACTCAAAGATCTATGCACCAAATTATGTAAAATCTTAATTTTTTTCTTACAACTTTTCATTTGGAAATTTTATTCTAGTGTGACCTCTTGCCTTAACAAGGATAAATGTTTATAACCACTGAAGTTTTCTGCTAAAGGGTGAAGGTCTGTTTTTCTGAATCTGGATATAGGCTTTGATCCTTCTCAACTTACTTTTGGAATTGCAGAACTTGGCTCAGACAGATTGA